AAAAGTTTTTAAAACAAAGCCGTTTTGTTTAGAGGCTTTCTTTTGAAAAAGATGGTTTTTGTGTGAATGGGCATGGTAAACCACCCGCGGGTGATTTGTCTTTTCGATAGAACCCATGCCCCGCACAAGTTGTAAAGAAAAATTATTAATTTGTTTTTTTTTTAAAAATATTTAAAATAAAAGCCATTCCATTTTGTTGAAAGGCTTCTCAACGAGAAAGATGTTTTTTGTGTGAATGGCACCATCTAGCTTTTCGATAGACCCTTCACTAAAAAGTTTTGGCTTAAAGCATTTGTAAACAGTCGAATAATGAATATACATTGAAGATAAATACATCATGATCAATGTGTGGGATGTAAGGGTCGCGTTGAGTAGGAAAACGATGGGGTTAAATAGATTTTACAGATATCTCGCAACGCCCGCTTAAAGTTCAACGCAAGGTGTGTCTAATAAAACGCAAAATTCCAAAAGTGGTTGGATCTCATTCTTAGTAACAATTGTTTCGAATGTACCAGTATGTCATGTGGCTTTTGTTTATGATTCAAGTCATGCAGTCTTTCCAAAATCCTATTTCGGGACCTTCTATTTTTTATGCAGCATTGTTTGAGTGTGATACAATCGCGCGTGTCAGATTGTCTAATATGTCGAACTGCTCATTATTACGTTGATGTAACCATGGTGTGTGCAAACTTAAATTCTGATTATTTCGGATTTTAACTCGCACCAATCTCAACAAATTAATAACAGTGGGCAACCGTTCAATGAATATTCATGATGAAGTACACATGCATTCGCGATGCACATTAAAACAATTACCGATTGTTTATATTGTCCTATTCTAGAGACGCCTGCAGCTGACGCGCGCAATATAATCAAAGGACGGAAATTGGACTCATTACAAAATAAGCAACTTGAGAGTCGAGGGAACGTGAATCTATAAAGCAATGAGTTATTTTTGCTCAAAAACCATTGATGGTTATACACGAATTTGCATACATTCGTACTAAATTGGCAACAGGTGAGTTGTAATAACGAACCAATTTAAGCAGGAACCCGTGATGAAGCGAAGCTAACAATGTGCTTGATTCCTGGACAAGCAGCCGAATTTTCCTTTCATCGAATCAATCAGTACAGTTACTTCCACAGACCTACTGCAGCAAGTTCAATGTAAGGTGCGAGAAAGCATAACATGCGGGCACGCTGGAGAAACATAAATTTTGACATTTATGTACAAGAGCATGAAAATTATGTACCAGACGGTAAGCATACGGCGGGGTGATGATTTACAGCCAGCAACTGGAAGGAAAGCAAGAGCATTGGAGACAGTAAAGACAAAGTGGCGCGATTGCATGCTAACTGGCTTTCCGCATAGCATTTCAGCTAATATCCCTGACTGCAATTCAATCCCCACAGAATGGATTATCGTTGATTTTATCGTCGATATGCTCATTGGAGTCTGTACTAATACAATGATACTACCCAATCCGAGATCTGGTCCGATCATAGCAAATTTCTTTCTTTATGTCCGGTATGCCAACGCCCCAAGCTTTCGGCAGTTGTAGTTCTTAATCGACAGAACACAGCCTTCAGCAATCACGTCAACCAAGATTTGTATTTGTTACATCAACTTGTAAATTGGCGCACAACCAGTCTCCGCACCGCACAAACACAAACTCGGCAAAATCCACCCTCTTCGTCAGTTATCCATGTTTGGGAGCAAATAGTCGATTACAAGCCCTGTGTATGCGTATTGGGCCGATTGAATTTTTGGGTGTTATCCGCAACTGGTTCTTGCTAAAATACCCAATTGATTAGTAAATGAATATCATGTTCGGCACTCGGCGCTACTATCTACTTACTTGAAATCCTAAGAATCAGATACATTTGTCTACATCGCGGCCTAACAGAACAAGATCTTTTATAATCGGTTTCGAATTGTGCGAACTTGGCTTATATAACCGACATATCAGACGAACAGATTCCCACCATCATTCTATTACATAATTCCTTGTTCGGCAGAGGTAATACCTTTTTCAAATTCTCTCTCTGAACCATCGTTATGACATTGTTTTGTTCTTTTGGCCTGATCCCATACTGCTCCAAGTGAGTAAATATCACATTTTCGTCAAAAGGCAGTGAAGAATCTTTGGGGCCGTATACGCCGCTAAGCCATATTTTGAAGAGCTACTGGAAGGAATCACGACTTTGTCGGTTCGTGAGAGACTAATGTATTATGAGAGACTAATCCGTTCTCATCGGTCCTCTATTTTCATCTATTAAGATGTTGCCCTGAAATTCGACGTTTAGTGAGTAACGGCATTGAAAGAATAAAGACTGATAAATAATATATATTTTACTCACTGTGGAAATCCTAAATCGTTAGTTAAATATAATGAGGTCTTATGATAGCACGCGTACGAAACTTCAAGATTAGATGGGACCTAGTCAGACACTGCATTACTATCATCCAACTAGTCCAGTGTTTCCCGACTGTAAATTAGCAGATATTCTTACATACCATTCACCAAGTTTCTTATGTGAACGTAATTGAGATATCTGAGCGAATCCAACATATTAGTGCATCGACTTTAAGTCAGCTCGTCCCCCCAAAAAACATGTACTTACATCAAGACGCGTAGCACGACGAATATACTCTGTGGCTATCATGTCTGTAGGTAACAATTTAAATAATAAAGCTTGTAGTTAAATCATAGACTACACAACTCTTGCATAAATACGATGCTCTTGATTCTTCCGCTTTCTCCGTACATACGTCGGCGTTTCCTCAAACATATCAGCATCTTTGTGTACGGGTACGTGTTGCTGTATGACATAACAGATTAATGTTATGACATTTTTGTATTTGCCGCGACTTTCCATCAGTAAAAGATAAAACTTGGCGTTACGCCACCTTCATCGGGACGCATTTTAGCTACAATGTGTACGCAATCGGCGGTGTAGTCGAGCAAGATGACACCGTTGTACATGATCGTCCCAGTCATTACGATGTCATTAAAGCGTTTTTGTAATCTCCAAAAAATGTACAGTTGAAATGACGAGAAAGAGCAAAAAATTAGAGTAAGGTATCGAACATAAAGTAGTTAGATATGATAATGACATATAGAGCATGTCTTCAACTCACCTTGACTATAGCATGTCATGGAATAACGGTCCGCGCGTACGTCAAATGACAATTATCAAGATATTTTAAACAGCGTTATTGTATATTTTCAAGAAGATTACTTGTATTAGTTTTTATACACATGCCAAGCTATTACAGACAAACTAGCAAGAAATAAAATTCACAATTCGTCATCACGATGATCTCTTGAACTTCAGACGCATCTGAACACAATCCGTACCACTGACAAAGATCAAAGCTTCTTCCCTCTCACAATGACTAGAAACCCATGAGAACTCATCAACTCTCATTCGCCATCTTTGCCCATACCTATCTATGACTTCTTTTTACTTGCAGGCGTTGAGGAAGCCATTTGAATGGACATGGACCGTGGATTGTAATTAATTAGTAATATTTTTTAAGAGTTAGGAATGGATCGAGGATTGCAGTTGTTTGCTATTTGATTGATGTAGTAAAGCGTCTTTACATTAAATTAGATCGGAGAAAAAGAGTCAAACCTCGTTCGCATTTCATACGTTGCCAGTCGTTTTTAGAACAGATAATTCCTTAGTTGTCCCGCGACTTGAATTGAAATCTATAATGGCCAGAGACATTAATTAAAGCCGTCTTATTTCAGTAATTCGACATTATAATTAGGCTACAAGATCTAGAGAAACTCTTTGAATCTATCAACGCGACCCGACAGTATTCACAGTATTACGCAATTATGAATGTGATGTTAATGCTACGTGTGTTATGGTTTAGTGTAAAAGTTGTTGCTGTTATTTGCGCTGGTTGTGTGCGGTAGCATTTGTCCTGCATGGCATTGTCGTTAAATGTTGTAAACAGAAAATAATTATACCAGTGAGAAGTAGCCCCAATATCTACGCCGAGCAATAATTAGTTCAGGGCACGTGATTATTGTCTATGTGCTAAATTTTTGATGGTGATCACAGACAACTTGATAGATGGTTTGCCGCAAAGACGCGCTTAAACCTATATATATACACCTACAACTCATTCTTGCCAAAACGCCAACGTAATACTGTGAATACTGTCGGGTCGCGTTGATAGATTCAAAGAGTTTCTCTAGATCTTGTAGCCTAATTATAATGTCGAATTACTGAAATAAGACGGCTTTAATTAATGTCTCTGGCCATTATAGATTTCAATTCAAGTCGCGGGACAACTAAGGAATTATCTGTTCTAAAAACGACTGGCAACGTATGAAATGCGAACGAGGTTTGACTCTTTTTCTCCGATCTAATTTAATGTAAAGACGCTTTACTACATCAATCAAATAGCAAACAACTGCAATCCTCGATCCATTCCTAACTCTTAAAAAATATTACTAATTAATTACAATCCACGGTCCATGTCCATTCAAATGGCTTCCTCAACGCCTGCAAGTAAAAAGAAGTCATAGATAGGTATGGGCAAAGATGGCGAATGAGAGTTGATGAGTTCTCATGGGTTTCTAGTCATTGTGAGAGGGAAGAAGCTTTGATCTTTGTCAGTGGTACGGATTGTGTTCAGATGCGTCTGAAGTTCAAGAGATCATCGTGATGACGAATTGTGAATTTTATTTCTTGCTAGTTTGTCTGTAATAGCTTGGCATGTGTATAAAAACTAATACAAGTAATCTTCTTGAAAATATACAATAACGCTGTTTAAAATATCTTGATAATTGTCATTTGACGTACGCGCGGACCGTTATTCCATGACATGCTATAGTCAAGGTGAGTTGAAGACATGCTCTATATGTCATTATCATATCTAACTACTTTATGTTCGATACCTTACTCTAATTTTTTGCTCTTTCTCGTCATTTCAACTGTACATTTTTTGGAGATTACAAAAACGCTTTAATGACATCGTAATGACTGGGACGATCATGTACAACGGTGTCATCTTGCTCGACTACACCGCCGATTGCGTACACATTGTAGCTAAAATGCGTCCCGATGAAGGTGGCGTAACGCCAAGTTTTATCTTTTACTGATGGAAAGTCGCGGCAAATACAAAAATGTCATAACATTAATCTGTTATGTCATACAGCAACACGTACCCGTACACAAAGATGCTGATATGTTTGAGGAAACGCCGACGTATGTACGGAGAAAGCGGAAGAATCAAGAGCATCGTATTTATGCAAGAGTTGTGTAGTCTATGATTTAACTACAAGCTTTATTATTTAAATTGTTACCTACAGACATGATAGCCACAGAGTATATTCGTCGTGCTACGCGTCTTGATGTAAGTACATGTTTTTTGGGGGGACGAGCTGACTTAAAGTCGATGCACTAATATGTTGGATTCGCTCAGATATCTCAATTACGTTCACATAAGAAACTTGGTGAATGGTATGTAAGAATATCTGCTAATTTACAGTCGGGAAACACTGGACTAGTTGGATGATAGTAATGCAGTGTCTGACTAGGTCCCATCTAATCTTGAAGTTTCGTACGCGTGCTATCATAAGACCTCATTATATTTAACTAACGATTTAGGATTTCCACAGTGAGTAAAATATATATTATTTATCAGTCTTTATTCTTTCAATGCCGTTACTCACTAAACGTCGAATTTCAGGGCAACATCTTAATAGATGAAAATAGAGGACCGATGAGAACGGATTAGTCTCTCATAATACATTAGTCTCTCACGAACCGACAAAGTCGTGATTCCTTCCAGTAGCTCTTCAAAATATGGCTTAGCGGCGTATACGGCCCCAAAGATTCTTCACTGCCTTTTGACGAAAATGTGATATTTACTCACTTGGAGCAGTATGGGATCAGGCCAAAAGAACAAAACAATGTCATAACGATGGTTCAGAGAGAGAATTTGAAAAAGGTATTACCTCTGCCGAACAAGGAATTATGTAATAGAATGATGGTGGGAATCTGTTCGTCTGATATGTCGGTTATATAAGCCAAGTTCGCACAATTCGAAACCGATTATAAAAGATCTTGTTCTGTTAGGCCGCGATGTAGACAAATGTATCTGATTCTTAGGATTTCAAGTAAGTAGATAGTAGCGCCGAGTGCCGAACATGATATTCATTTACTAATCAATTGGGTATTTTAGCAAGAACCAGTTGCGGATAACACCCAAAAATTCAATCGGCCCAATACGCATACACAGGGCTTGTAATCGACTATTTGCTCCCAAACATGGATAACTGACGAAGAGGGTGGATTTTGCCGAGTTTGTGTTTGTGCGGTGCGGAGACTGGTTGTGCGCCAATTTACAAGTTGATGTAACAAATACAAATCTTGGTTGACGTGATTGCTGAAGGCTGTGTTCTGTCGATTAAGAACTACAACTGCCGAAAGCTTGGGGCGTTGGCATACCGGACATAAAGAAAGAAATTTGCTATGATCGGACCAGATCTCGGATTGGGTAGTATCATTGTATTAGTACAGACTCCAATGAGCATATCGACGATAAAATCAACGATAATCCATTCTGTGGGGATTGAATTGCAGTCAGGGATATTAGCTGAAATGCTATGCGGAAAGCCAGTTAGCATGCAATCGCGCCACTTTGTCTTTACTGTCTCCAATGCTCTTGCTTTCCTTCCAGTTGCTGGCTGTAAATCATCACCCCGCCGTATGCTTACCGTCTGGTACATAATTTTCATGCTCTTGTACATAAATGTCAAAATTTATGTTTCTCCAGCGTGCCCGCATGTTATGCTTTCTCGCACCTTACATTGAACTTGCTGCAGTAGGTCTGTGGAAGTAACTGTACTGATTGATTCGATGAAAGGAAAATTCGGCTGCTTGTCCAGGAATCAAGCACATTGTTAGCTTCGCTTCATCACGGGTTCCTGCTTAAATTGGTTCGTTATTACAACTCACCTGTTGCCAATTTAGTACGAATGTATGCAAATTCGTGTATAACCATCAATGGTTTTTGAGCAAAAATAACTCATTGCTTTATAGATTCACGTTCCCTCGACTCTCAAGTTGCTTATTTTGTAATGAGTCCAATTTCCGTCCTTTGATTATATTGCGCGCGTCAGCTGCAGGCGTCTCTAGAATAGGACAATATAAACAATCGGTAATTGTTTTAATGTGCATCGCGAATGCATGTGTACTTCATCATGAATATTCATTGAACGGTTGCCCACTGTTATTAATTTGTTGAGATTGGTGCGAGTTAAAATCCGAAATAATCAGAATTTAAGTTTGCACACACCATGGTTACATCAACGTAATAATGAGCAGTTCGACATATTAGACAATCTGACACGCGCGATTGTATCACACTCAAACAATGCTGCATAAAAAATAGAAGGTCCCGAAATAGGATTTTGGAAAGACTGCATGACTTGAATCATAAACAAAAGCCACATGACATACTGGTACATTCGAAACAATTGTTACTAAGAATGAGATCCAACCACTTTTGGAATTTTGCGTTTTATTAGACACACCTTGCGTTGAACTTTAAGCGGGCGTTGCGAGATATCTGTAAAATCTATTTAACCCCATCGTTTTCCTACTCAACGCGACCCTTACATCCCACACATTGATCATGATGTATTTATCTTCAATGTATATTCATTATTCGACTGTTTACAAATGCTTTAAGCCAAAACTTTTTAGTGAAGGGTCTATCGAAAAGCTAGATGGTGCCATTCACACAAAAAACATCTTTCTCGTTGAGAAGCCTTTCAACAAAATGGAATGGCTTTTATTTTAAATATTTTTAAAAAAAAAACAAATTAATAATTTTTCTTTACAACTTGTGCGGGGCATGGGTTCTATCGAAAAGACAAATCACCCGCGGGTGGTTTACCATGCCCATTCACACAAAAACCATCTTTTTCAAAAGAAAGCCTCTAAACAAAACGGCTTTGTTTTAAAAACTTTTATTTTTTTTTTAAAATATACATATATTTTAAAAATTATTAAAAATTTATACAAGCCTCCTTCCACATTCCGTATCGGACTTGGATTCGGATTCGGACTCGGACTTGGACTCGGACTCGGACAAACGAAAAGGTTTCGGTGCCGCAACTGTCTGCCAACAGACGAAGACATTCTCAAGGAGAGGTCAAGACTACTGGAATACGGGACGGAGGATTATGTTGGAGTTAACGGGGGATTGTTGTAATATTAACATAACCGCACATCATGTATATAAGAATCTTTGTTTATTAAATAAATACAATTCGAATTGAATCGATTTAAAAAATGTTGTTGTGACCCATTATCGTGCTGATACAATTGCTTACGAGTGTATGGTAGTATAATTGCTGGGAGTTTTCAGAGGGTATGCTGTTCTCAGTAGACGCGGAGAGCACATTACATTGTTAAATTTGTGTAGTGTAATAGCATGTTCTATAACAATAAAGAAAGGTATTAGCATATAATTTTCCACTATGGTGTAAAATTATATTCTAATGCCAAAAAAATTATTAAAAACAATCCGTTTACTGTCTATCAAAATATGTGCTGGTCTTTATCTTTTCTACTTTGCCTGTTACTGTCATTGGTAGAAATAATTCTAGAGCCATTTTATTGATTGATTCATAGTATATTTGGCGCCGGAGAACAGCTCACGATACCTTTCTCATGTTACGTAACTGTTGACATATTTTTAGAGGTCAATAATTATAATTTCTCTAAAAATAACGTGACAAAAATAACAAATAATAACAATAACAACAATAATTACAATAAATAATAGCAATAATGATAACAAATAACCATTATCTGTCTTGTGTAATCGCTTATCTGAAACAACGAATATTAAATTCAATATTAAACGTTCGACAGGGCAAGTAACATCCACAATAAGTATGCAAAGCTTACACTGTGTTTATTCTTTAAGAACCTTCGACTGTTTTTATGTCATACGTGGATGCAATTACAGCTGCCAATTGCGATTTTGGTTTTGTTTACGGATTTTTAGCGGTGCTTTTTTAACAATTACGCTTCGTGTTCTACATTAATTGCTGAAAACGCCCTCGTTCTTATAGAACTTACCCAAATAATGTTTTATTGATGTGCTTTATTTAACTATATGCAACCGTGCAGCTTAGAATAACCAAGATGATACATTCTCTTATCGATCTGACAAGGAATTTGTTGATTATTGAGTCCTAGTGTCAAAGCAATTCAAGACAAACGTTGCAAAGATATCAAGGTTACAATTAATCAAAAGACACTTTGTGTTTGACAAGTGCGTGTTACTTTATTCTTCATGGGTTTCATTTCAAATGTAATAGGATGACTATTGCGTACTGTAGATTGTTGCTCACAGCACTCTTAAAATGTTTATACTAAAGTAAACGCGTTTGCAGACAATTTATTAACACAATTGTATTTTGCTGACACGGAATCGATTTCCACTTGATAGTAGAATTGTCGTTATCGAGGCGATGCAAAACTATTTGCTTTTTAATAATATAATTTATTGAGTAGCAAAAACCTTTCCAAATAATACAAGCAATTAAAGGGTAATTGTGCCCTCTCTACAACTTTTATACTATTCACTAGATACATTTTCTTCAGTAATTAAAATTTTTTACATTCAACGAAATAATGTTAAATCCGCAAAGCCAAACGATGTGACGAAATGGCTTAAACCAAATCGCCATGGTTTTTCTTTAAAAAAAAAGGAAATTTTTTTGCTCAGTCCAAGCCAAACCATATGATGAAATGGCTTAAACTGAGCATTTTTATCACGACTTTGTCCTTTTGGGCAAGCCCTTTGAGATAAAAAAGGTTTGTAAGATGCGTGCTCTCGTGATGATGCGGCAAGTTAACTGACACGGAAAATGTTTCTTACCGTTAGATGTTGTTTTAACATGCGCAAACTGGAGTCCTGCATTTCCAGCATGGTTTGGCGATAGCGATAGCCGTCGTCGTAAACAGTGAGATTTTTTTTGAACGGTCTTTTTTCATAATTCTTTCCGTTTTAGTTTTGAAAGCTTTGACTTTGGGCCAGGTGTGAGCAACGTTGAGTTTCGAGCTTTTTATGGTTATAAGGAAGTGAGAGTACTAGTTGTGATGAGGACGACTTAATTGTCAGGGTAAGGCCACGTTGCTGGCTTTATATATTCGTCTGTCAGGTATTTAGCATTTAATTGGTTTCACGCGACTCAAAAAGGTACACACGGTTTAGCAACTCTTTTAGTCTTTTTGTTGCAGATTGGAAGTTCACCAATAATAATGAATGCAGAAGGCATTATTATGCCAATGTCTTTATTAATACAGTCACAATATTATAATTATTATTACCTATTTACTAAATATCAGTTATTATTATGCAAGTCCCTTTTCTTAACGTTAACGTAAATGTTAATAATGTATGCTGTCAATTTAGGAATATTTGGCCTTAAATGCACATATTTGGGCCAGAAACAATGAGAATAACGACGAAAAGCAACACATTTGATTACCAAGACGGAAACAGAACCCTCAGGAAACCTGCTACTTGTCGACGAAAATGGAAGCCATTCCAGTTTCCTTACATAATAAAAGATTTTAGCAGCGATATAATTACAAACCTTAATAATGTTAATAATATTAAGCATGTTATTGTCAGAATAAAAGTAATTACCGTAACAATAATAAATAAAGCTGTCTTAATTAATCGCTAATTATAATAAATCAAGTCAGCATGCGGATTTTCATGATTTTTCTCGGCATCAAAATTTTACGGACACGTGAATATTTCTAGGCATAAATTTATATTTGCTTCTATAATTTCACCCACGCAGTCATGTGTATTATCAGGATATTATCCGACATGTTGCACACATCCGACATGTTACACTATGAAATATTTTCTTTTTTAGGGTAGTATAATCAGACGAATAGATAACTTGGGGTGGAATTTCGGTGAGAAAGGAAATGTGTAACATGTCGGATGTGTGTAACATGTCGGATAAATTCCTGATTATGTCATGTGTCCGTAAATTTTAGTTGATTTTCATGTTACACAGCGAAATATTTCGTGAAAAAGAAAATCATTGTTCGCGATTATCTCTTCCGCATGGGGCTCTCAATATACGTTCCAATAAACGTTTACCCACTCGCCTTTCCTCACCATTTTACAATAATAACGTTGTTCGTCATATGACACATAACTATACGTTGCGCGACAAACTTCGTGGATATGGAAAAGACGTCGGATTTAATGCGTGAGCCGTGGGAAATAGAAGACCCGCCAAGCGCTGATCCGCTGGAAATGGAGAAAGGAGAAAAGGTATCGTGTAGAGTACCAAGTGGACATACCGTTGCTATTGTTGGTCCATCAGGAGGCAAGGTAAGCAATAGCCACATTAATAATCGGTAAGGGAAAGAGAATAACGATGCAAACGTTCAATAGAAGCTCTAGCAAAAGAATATGGCATTTCACCCCAGCAAGTTTTATTTTCAAGAACAGAGATCAATATGCGCGAATATATTTGTTTTGCTTATCTGAATGAAGTTGACATGTAATTTACTTACCTATAATTTTGATCTTTCCTCTCGACAATTATACATGCTGATCAGGTGCGTCGGATTAAGTAGTAGAGCAAGGGTCGCGTGACGAACTTAAGCAACTCGAAAATGGCGTGTATTTCAAATTGTGGGGAACAAACAACTCAAAGATAGACTGAAAATAAAGTAAATAAAGTGAAGTCAGCTGTACAGCCAGCGTGCGTAGTAGGAAGAGTATTCGTCGTAGTAATGGAGCAGCTTCTGATTCAATTACCGCAAGAGTAGGAGGAGATGTGACGCCCCAAAACAAGACATTTATACATGTTGGTGATGTGATCAATGAATCAGAGTAGGAGAAGATGGACATTGCAAAAGGATAACATCTATACAATTGGCGGTGCAGTGAACGAATCAGTAGTAGAAGGTAGCACACCGCAAAGAAAACGTACAAGACAATGTTTAACGGCATTTCATTTCCTCCTTCAAATCCCGAGATATTTTAAACTGTAAGTGAATACTAAATGTAACTGCAAACTGCATATAATAATAAGGAAATTGCGAAATGGAAATTATTGCAATTTTGAATTTTCTTATTACTCCCATCAGAAATATTATTTCAGATGCTAACGCTCAACTTTATTCATAACTTTTAGGACCAGAGGATTCACGAGCGCTTAATGGGCGTAGATGCGAATGGCTACAACGTACACTATTCCGTTCAGAGGCAACGTTCCGAGCGTAGAAACGAAGACGATGACGCAATGAAATCCAGAAAACGACATATGTAGGCGTCAAGAAGCGCTGCAAGCTAGGATTATTGAAGATGATACAGGGACACTAACCCAAAAAAAAATGTAAATTCCATACACAACACAAGCAAATGCTTGACATAACGACATCAGCCCAGAGATAGGTTCAATTTCCGTGGGATGAAGGTCTTGCCGAATATAACGGTGATGATGAAGAGAAAGTTGACATTACAAGAGGGCATATGATTAGAAGGATAACTTGAGTGAAGAAGAACAAGAACATGAAAATCTTTAAAGTGTATGAAGTGAGGTAAAATTTTGTCAAATGCGAAGATTGGTAGCTTTGGCAAGTTAAGACGTGTGGGAATCGGAAGAGCAATGGAAAAGGGTCAGGAGAAAGGATTGTTGAATGTGTGTAGCTGCTCATGCTTATCTTAATAATTCCTTGATTATGCCTAGGCTGCCTGCATTCAAGACGGTTTTGATAAGGTTTATAAGGCAAGATTAGGATGGTAATGAGACTTCAAAAACGCAACCATGACCAAATTTCAATGAACGTAGCCTTTACGTTGAGACGGTGGAACGTAGTACGGGACTTCTTTAGTTTGATTATTTTGGTGAGTAAAAGATGGAAGAATTTGGAGTGTTAGATGATAAGGAAACTGGGAGTGGTATCCACATTATTGTAGGATAATCATTATCTGTTACATGCTGTATCTATGTTTAATGACTACAGTCGTAGTTAACATTAATTCTTTATTGTTTATTCTATAGCAATTACGGATTGGTCTGTTAAAACAAATTGTGTACTGAATGAAAATGATGGCAAGACAGTTTGAATAAATGTCTTCATTTACATTTTGGAGGAAGAGCTGAACTTGCCAATCTCTGATTGACGTATGTATCTAAGGATAACGAGGAATTTTCGACCTCAGTACACGTAAACGAATTCGGATCAAAAAGAAGTTGTTTTGGATGATTATTATCAACTGCAATGGATTATCCACATTTTCTAGCGAAGACGAAGAGGCTCGTACCGAACCTCTCACGGGTGCATCCAATGACAACAAACGTTTTCGAAGACGTATATTTGCCACGTTCAAAGGAGACATCAGGACGACTTTTTCAGAAACGTTGGCGTTGCGTATGACGGTGGCTCCAATGTCTTTACAACTGGGCAACTGACCCTTAGGGGGAACAACCAAGCCATTGAGCTCATCGAGTTGGAAGATGACCACGACCGTGCTGGAAACCCAAACGAGTTTTATATCGAGATCAGAGAAAACAACAAAAAGCCGACGATCTCGCTTGACGATCTGAAAGTTGTCTTGTCGGGTGACACTTTCGAATGGATCTTTTTCAACAGCTTAGGACTGAAAATGCTCAATGCCTTTTTGCACCATAATCCGGCCTTACGATACGTACAATTTGGTGAATCAATCTTCGTTCCGAAAGCAAGGAGTCGCTTGGAAGGGGTGTGGGCTTGTGGCAAGGATTTTTCGCAAGTGTTCGACCAGAAGGTGGTGGAAAGGGTAAATTGAAAACTATCGATATGTTTAGTTGAGTAGCTATAAGGTCGTAGGTTGAACTTGTAATAACATGTGTTGATTTCTCTATTCTAAAAATAGGAAAACTATTTGCAAATGTAAACGTCACCTACACTACTGTTTATGAACCAGTTGATCCGGCTACGTGGCTATGCAACTTCCTAAATCTCAAGCAAGTTCCAACGAAACTTGAAAATAATATGCGTGAAAATGTAAATAGTGTCTTGAAGCATATCAAAGTCCGTCCTCTTCATCGTCCAGATTGCAAGACAAATATACTGTTGCTAAACTTGCTGACGTAACTGCAGATGAGTACAAGTTCGAAACAACAAGTCCGGAAAAGAAGAGACAGTAGCAGATTACTTCAAGGCAGTTTATAATATAAAACTCAAATCTCACTATATGATTGAAACTGTTGGCTCAAGAAAGGTCCTGATCCCAATTGAATGCTGCGGCATTGTTGAGGTAACATATTTTCAAGCAATCTAACAAACTGTTATTAGCAAAGAAGATTGTTAATATTCTCTTCTTAATCATAGGGTCAGCATTATCAAGGCAACAATTGACTGGAGAGCAACGCGCTAGTCTTCAGGGAACATCCTGTCCCTGCCATTACCATGTTCTTTTTGATGAGAACTTTCAGGTAGATGAAATTTAGGATTTCACTAACAAATGTGTTACAACTTTCAACGCTCAACTAGAGCGGTTTCCATTCCTGTACTGACTTACTATGCATATTGTGCAGCAAATTATGATCACGTCTCAATATTGGTTGTCATTTTCCAATGTATTATGTTTAAGAATATGCTATGTTATATATTAATATGTGGTTTTTTTTTTCAAATTAGCAATTTTGGTGTATATGGTATTTTTTAATTGAGATGTGTATTATGCCAGTGATTATTATTATAGCAATATTTTATATTTGTCAGTATATTTTTTGAAAAATTTTGTGTTTAGTTGATGGGGTATGTGTTGAGATTTCCTTAATAGACCTTATTTGTCTATTTTTAAGTACACATTCTGCACCCCGCGTTTGGGGTTGGAATGGCCCGGCCATTACGCGAGTGAGGCGGTATGAGTTCGTCGTTTTTGTCGCTTTAGCGTCGACCCCGCCCTTTTCAGGACGGATCAGATCATATCATTGCGAAGACGGACGAAGTTCATCATCACCATAGGCGTGTGATCGTTGACGGTCAGAATGGAGCAAACTTCCCTTCATTCCGCGCCTTTCCTCACCATTTTACAATACGTGGCGCGACAAACTGGCAAGCAAAACGAAAATAGTGTCAGAGAAACCGTTTGAAATTTCAACATTTCGAAGCCAGTCTTTGCACCACCGCGCATTCGTCATCTGGTATAGAAGCCACCACGAGAATGACGAACACGAACGACTCATAAAGGCTAATTTACCCCAAATTTAAATCTCGATAGACCCAACTCTGCTTTCGTCATCAAATTCTGTTTCGGGACCAAACGTATAAAGCTTCCAAGCGTGCAGCGCTAGAGTGTCAAGACGTGTCGATGGTATCGACTGAAGACTAGGGTAGATCGGATGGGTAATTCCCATGTTTTTAGATATCATTATGGTTATTGGTATGAAATCTGCTTTAGTTTTTCCCTATAAAATTAGAAAATTTTAAGTTAATCATTAATAAAATTGATCGAAAGACAAGTTAAAAGCAAGTCAGCATGCGGATTTCCTCATATCCATGTTGGCCTTCCGCATGGGCTCTCTCAATATACATTCCAATAACGTGCATCAGCCTTCGACTATCACAAATATGGGATCACATAGGTCAAATCAGAACAAACTTTACCTAATGACGAAGTAGCAGGCCCAGAGAAAAGGTGGACGGGACGGGTGAATATATCATCGCGAATTGGGTCACCGGCCGTATAATTGTGACAACGATGACGGATAAGAATAGGCGCTCTACGCTGACACTGAAGATAGGCTATGTAAAACTGTACGTATAGCTTCGCAGTCGAGATTGATTCCGTCTTGGAACGTAAGGAGCACGTGTTACTAGTGTCAGACAATTTGTGGGAAAGCTTGATTTTAACTTGCTAACTCGGAGTAAACTTATCCAAAAAAAAAATAGGGAGAAGTTGCAAACTTTATCCAAAGTTGACTCATTTCGCCCATTAGTCTGAACAGCTTGCGGTCTCAACATTTATTACCTTGTTTCTCAATGATAGACGTGATTTCCATTAAGATGGACAAGGCTTTTACATAAACGCGTCAGTCTGCAGGGGAAGTAGAAGGAACGCGTTATGCTGTTAGGATGAGATATTCAGAGGAGAGAATGTCCGAATGTATGATAACCTTGAATTTACATAGCTTTTCATGTTTCTATGTTTCTAACTATATAATTCATCTCCTTTTAGATATAATAATCCGACAATCCAAAAACGGTTCACATATGCAAGGACGATGGTATCGGTTGCTCAAGAACGAAGAATGAGAGGTTTTTACGATTTTACATTCATTAGTTATTATCTGTAGGGACTTATGATAGGATCTCTGACTTTCCTTTCCACAACCCTAATCCAACCACGTCAGCCACGCCCATGATGCCTACAGATGGTTCGCTTAACGACTGGCTCTTTGTTTCTCTCGCCATCCAATCAATACACATCGACCGACGTCGAACGGTAAAAGTAATTGACTCTGTCACGGGGAGGGAAGAAAGGAACCAAAGGATGGTCAGACTGCCGATAATTTATTCTTCCGATGGCAAGACAGTAAGGTTTTTTTTATGATGGAATTAGAGAATGGATCGGAAGTTATACGAGCATAAGGCGAATCCGCGTTCTAATAAATATTGTCTCATACCGGTTCAAAATAACGAAACCCTTGATGATGCATATATCAGATTTGACGGCTGGGTAGATGAAATATTAAAAGTTTCAGATAACAACGTCGTGATAGCTATACTATAGCCGTTTTAAATATGGGTTATTCGAAAAGTCAAGGAAATCGTCCTAACGAACCTTTATCACCTAGAGAACAGGAATGGGCATCCAATGTAATGATAGGAGGTATTATCTGGAGTGTTGCCACTAAGGATAACCCATGGGAAGGTGAGGCCGAATCATATGACTTTACATTAATGTATCCATCCATATTGGCGGATTCTCATAAATTGTGGCCTGTGGGTGCTGGTGAATTTACGATTTTAAATAAACATTACTATTACACCACACGAAATATGATCTCGAACTTGCCAGAAGATTAGGTTTATGTACGCTAATTAACGATGGAGAGGCGAATGCATACGATCGAAATGTCTTACTGGATCGGTAATGTTGGGACCTTTTATAGATACTCTTTTTAAGAACAAGCGTGAATCTGGAAGTAAGGTCACCAAATTAATTCTCACATTTTGTTTTATTAAATTAATCTTTCTTAGAGATAAGGCACCAGACGAACAAAATCTCGAACATTTTTCTGCCACTATTTTTTTTTCTTTTTTCTTTTTTTGTGCTTACGGTTCCGTCATACCGAAGAATTGCACGACGCTGGACATTGTTGTAATAATTAACTTATGCTTATGACTTAATTAAAATTGAAAGACGGACGAGTGGTGTATTGAATGATGTCGCAACTGGGATAACGATAGAACCGAAGACGCGTCCCCGTGATGGTTGGGCCGACGGAGGAGGATCAACATCATCACCTTATCCGATCCAAGAGGGTCGACTGTATTAATAATTAGCATTAGCGAATTTGTTAATTTACTATGTAATTGCTTCCACCAACAAATGTAGTAATCTCTCAAAATCGATAAAAAAAAGGGCAAAACAGCGCTTTCACATTATTAGCACGTATACCATGGCATGGTTACTAACGTTAGCATCCATAACTACAATGCGTAACTGCCCATCTTCAACCAACCACTGCATTGATCTTACCTGAGAGCGGCCAACAACTCGTCGACTCGTGAATCAAGAACCAGTCGTCGTATCCGGACAGCGCGTACACGTCGTGGACGTAAAATATGGCGCAAAGGCGCATTAGCGGCGGTTGCCCAGTGCGACGGACTACGGACGTGGACGTGTGTCCTCTGTATATGACTTGAGCAACATGGCGGCGACGTCTTGTGCTGATTCGGGGCATTACAATATACTACTGAAACAAATCTTGGAGAAGTCTATAGATGGATATGGTGTTTATTTATACGATGCGGGTATATGTGCTAAATGTTTAAGTGTATAACATTTTTATTCAATTCAAAATTCAGCTTCTCGACCATGGGTATCACTCAGAGTTCCATATATCTCTCTTCACTCTAAAGCCAATAATAATAATTGTCACGTATTTTAGTTTTAGTGTTTTTGCATTAAAGCAGTTTCGTGTTTAGTTCGGCTTGTTGTTCAGCTTTTTTACGTTGGAGTTATCTGATAGAGAGGTTTTGCAGCAAGATATGTATTTTTTCTAGTGTATTTGTCTAATCAGCGTAAATGAGTGGGCGTGCATATTCGAAAATTGTCCAATTATAAATTACTGGTTTGATTTAAAGTTACGAGTTCCGTGTGTAACAAACAAAATGGGAGGCGCATGATCGACAGGGAGTTGTGCGTCAAGTAACCCAATCTCTATTCCATTCATCACGTTTAAAATAGAACGGCTGTGTTTAATTCACAAAGACTAATATGTAAATGTTATTGGTGTACAAGTGTTATTCCCTTCCGTGTAGTATGTTACAATGTTAACATCAAACATACAAAAACAAG